AATCATCTTCTTAATATCTCATGATAATAGATTTCTATAGCTTTGAAACAATAAAAAAGATTAATGATTGCTGATTATCATTATTATTTATATACGCAGATCATGATTTCTTATTTATATTTAGTAAAGAACAATTTTTTTAACAAAGGTAATTTACATTCAATTTTTAGCAATTGTTGGAGTTTAAAATCTACTAATATTCAGTTTGCTACCTTTCACAATTCCACATGAAAGAGAATAAATATATCCATGAAGTAAAACCATTTTGTGCCACGGCTTGAAACAGTTGCAGTCTTGCAGAAGACATCTAACATGTCGCTTTTAGTATTATGACAACAGTGACAGTAATCTCTTCTCTCTCTTACCATTTTTTTTTCTTTTTCTTTCACCCAAATCGTAACAGTAGTCATCTAATTTTATTTTTTTACTATCAATAATAATATATACAATAAAAAAATTTATTTTCTCTTTAAACCTTTTCTCTCTCGTCTTAAAATTCAAATTTAAGCTTTTATGTCTTCTCTATTTTGCAATGTATGCTACATTTATTAGCTTATTACAAACTATTACTCTCAATGTAGCATTTGCATTTACTCATTAAATGATAGGTTATATCAATAAAAAATAGAACATAAAATTATTGTTACAGAATATTCTACAAAATATTCATCACATTTGATTATGTTCATATTATAATTGATTGACATAATTAGATTAATTGATTTTATACTATAAAATATTATCTTATACAAACCTATAAATAGGCAATTTGTATATTCAAATGAATCAAGAAAAGTATCATTTTCTTCATATTTTTCTCTTCTGCCTCTTTTCTCTCATGGTATAAAAGCCACTGAGCTCTTTTACCTCTTTTTAATTTTCTACTTCTATGCTCTGGGTTTCCTATTTCTTTGCTTTGGTTGGGTTCTTGGCCAGCATTGAGCCTTCAGAATTGTTCTTCGGCAATCCTGAATTACTCTTTTATTTTTCGGTTCTCCGATAGCCTGTTGTTACTACCTAGATCTACATAGATCTCCTTTGATCTGCTCCGTCAGATTTCTTTACTTAATATTCTTATTTTTTAATGGAGAAATATGATATTTCCCAACCAATTTCAACTATTATCAATGGCTCAAATTACATACTTTGGACTCAAAGTATGCACAGCTTTTTGAAGGGTCAAAAATTATAGCGGTATGTTACTAATGACATTATACTTCCACAAAAAGTTACTGATAAGATAGATAAGAAATATGTTGATCATCTAGAGGAGTGGGATAACACAAATCATCAAATCATCACTTGGTTTCATAACACCTCAATTCCTTCCATTCATCTTCAGTTTGGACGTTATGAAATAGCTAAGGAAGTGTGGGATTTGCTTGCAACCAGGTATACCACTTTTGATTTGTCTAGTCAATATCAATTGTGGAAAGAATTACATAATTTGAAACAATAACATGGAGAGTCCATTACTAGTTTTTATGCTAAGATATTTGGGATTAGTTTGCTCTCTCATAACCAACCTTCGACAACACTACTAATATTAGGAAGTACATTGAGCATCGTGATAAAATGAGATTAATTCAATTTCAAAGTAAGAGAGTTGCCAATGAGGTTAATTCAATTTTGAATTTTATCAAAATTGCATATAACGAATATTTCAAACACAAACAGTCCATGAAGAATAAAGGGGAAGCAGTAAAAATTTAAGCTTCATTTGGCCTGATGTGGTATGGGCGGTGCCTCTGCATTAGAATAGATATTTAAAAAAAAAAAATACTTAATGACATAAGTGAATATTGATGTGAAGTTTGTATTGTACAACTTTTTTTATTTTCAATTATTGATAGAGTATGGAACTCCACAATGGATAAAATGTAGTTTGTATAAGATAAATTACGTTATACATTTTTATGAAATAAATAATAAAAAATTCCTAGATTTAACATTTAAAAGCAGAGTAGGACCACATCAGTATGCTTTCTTGCGGTAAAGGGACCACAAGAAGGTGTTTTTGTGGAGACGGACCACAATGAACAGTTTGGGTGTACAAGTATGAGAATGAATGAAAAATCAAAGTACAAGGACTATGGTAGTGTTTAATCATGTCGAATTCATGCACAGTGAAAGAAAAAATATTTTAAAATTATGTTATTTTAATGAATTTTGTTAAAAAATATTAAAATATTTTATTTTTAAAACATAAATTAAAATATTTTTTATCTATTCCTATAGTATTTTATTAAAGTTACCTAATTTTAAAATAATTTTTTTTTAATTTTTAAAAAATAAAACAAATAAACACTAATTTTATATTTTTATTATAAATATTAAACATGGAAGACATAAAATAATTT